TTTTTTTTTTGAGTTGGAGTCTCACTCTGTCACCCAGGCTGAAGGACAGTGGCACACTCCCGGCCACCACGGCCTTAACTGCTGGGCTCAGGCAGTCCTTCCTCCTCAGTCTTCCAAGTAGCTGGAACTACAGGCACGAACCACCATGCCCGGCTTATTTTTTGATTTGTTGTAGAGGTGAGGTCTTGCCAAGTTTCCCAGGCTGGTCTCGAACCCACAGGCTCAGGCAGTTCTCTCACCTTGGCCTCCCAAAGTACTGGGATTATAGATGTGAGTCACCACTGCTGGCCTTTGCCTGGCTAATTAGAAAAATTTTTTTTGGCTGGGCTTAGTGGATAAGCCTGTAATCCCAGCACTTCGGGAGGCTGAGGCAAGTGGATTGCCTGAGCCTGCAAATTTGAGACCAGCCCAGACAACTTGGGGAGACCTCAGCTCTACAATAAATCCAAAATTAGCCGGGCATGGTAGCACATGCCTGTAGTTCCAGCTACTTGAAAAGCTGAGGCAGAAGGTTCGCCTGAGCCCAGCAGGTCGAGGCTCTGGTGGCCATGAGCAGGCCACTGCACTCCAGCCTGGGTGACAGAGTGATACTCTGACTAAAAAAAAAAATTTTTTTTTGTAGAGACAGGATCTCTCTTTGTTGCCCAGGCTGATATTAAACTCCTTGCTTCAGGTGATCCTCCCACCTCAGCCTACAAAAGTGCTAGGATTATAGGCATAAGCCATCGCACCTGACCAAGGAATCCTCTTGAATCCTCTTAGATCCCAGCTGAGTGTTTACTAGTCTCTGGTTACTTGAATGCTTCCTGTAGCTGGGTGCTCACTACCTCTAAGAAGTCTTGATCTTCACCATCTCCCATCTCCCCAGCACACACATGATTTCTTATTTGGGGACTTGTAGAAAGTCTTCCTGTTTCATCTGAAATATTTTTTGCAACCTGGACACATTGGTCCTAGGCCTGCCTGCCTTTTTTTTTTGAGTTGGAGTCTCACTCTGTCACCCAGGCTGGTGTGCAGTGTACTCTCATGGCCACTATGACCCTCAACCTACTGGGCTTAGGCAATCCCTCCGCCTCAGCCTTCCAAGTAGGTGGAACCACAGGCACATGCCACCATGCCCAGCTAATTTGTCTTGATTTATTGTAGAGATAAGGTCTCGCCATGTTGCCCAGGCTGGTGTTGAACTCGTGTGCACAGGCAAGCAATCCTCTCACCTTTGCCTCCCAAAGTGCTAGGATTATAGGCGAGAGCCACTGGGCCTGGCCTTAGGCTTGCCTTCCAGTGCCACACAGTAACTAGTCTTTCTGAGGTCAGCATTCCTGTCCCTCTATTGCCCAAGCTTGGTTTGTTCCAGACTAAACAACTTTTTTTTTTTTTAATAGGAATCTCACTCTGTCAGGATGGGGTGCAGTGGCCTGCTCATGGCCACCACAGCCTCGACCTGCTAGGCTCAGACGATCCTTCTACCTCAGCCTTCCAAGTAGCTGGAACTACAGGCATGTGCCATCATGCCTTGCTAATTTTTCTTGGTTTATTATAGCAGGGAGGTCTCACCAAGTTGTCTAGGTTGGTCTCGAACTTGTGGGCTCAGGCAGTCCTCTCACCCCAGTCTCCCAAATTGCTGGGATTATAGGCATGAGCCACTGTGCCTGGCCCCAAACAACTTCTGTTCCTTCAGTTCCATCTGTGGAAACTCCTGGACTAGCCTTGAGGACATGTTTCCAGAGTGATTGTCCTAGGCAGAAACAGGGACTTAAAGTTCTGGCACATACTGCTCACTCCCTCTGACGGAGGTGCTGGAGGACTTGACTGTATGCCACTGGTATTTCTTTTTTAAAATTAATTAATTTACTTTATGAGTAGAAGTCTTACTCTGTCACCTAGGCTGGAGTGCAGTGGCATTCTCAAGGCCACCGCAGCCTCAACTTGCTGGGCTCAGGTGATCCTTCCACCTCAACCTTCCAAGTAGATGGAACTACAGGCACATGCCACCATGCCCAGCTAATTTTTTGATTTATTGTAGAGATGAGGGAGGTCTCACCAAGTTACCTGGGCTGGTCTTAAACCTGTGAGCTCAGGCAGTCCTCTCACTTCTGTTCCCAGAGTGCTAGGATTATAGATGTGAGTCACTGCGCCCAGCCTATTTCTTTATTTTCATGAAAATCCTTGACTAACCTCTGAGTTGCTGCTAAAGAGAATAAAGACCGTTTACAAATTGTGTCCTCCGTGGGCATGTTTAAGATTGTTAAGACTGAGAAAACTTGCCGGGCACAGTGGCTCATGCCTATAATCCCAGCACTTTGGAAGGCTGAGGTGAGAGGATTGCCTGAGACCACAGGTTTGAGACCAGCCTGGGCAACTTGGCGCGACCTCATCTCTACAATAAATCAGGAAATTAGCCGGGCATGGTGGCGTGTGCCTGTAGTTCCAGCTACTTGGAAGACTGAGGCGGAAGGATCACTTGAGCCCAGCAAGTTGAGGCTGCGGTGGCCTTGAGAATGCCACTGCACTCCAGCCTGGGTGACAGAGTGAGACTCCAACTCAAAAAAAAAAGCCTAAGAAAACTTAGCCCCGAACCAGAGGAAGTCCTGGCCTTTTCCCTGCCTCATTTATGTTCCTTGTGCTCATTGAACTGGTGAAGCCAGTGGACAGGTTCCACTTTACAGGGCCTCGGTTCTGCCCACATGGAAGGAAAACATGTCTAACCAGCGGTGCATACAACACTGCTCCCTTCCCCTGCCCTGGTAGCCTGTGTGCCTTCCCTGCTCTAACCCTTTGTTCTGTTATCGTTGCCCTGTATTCTTCAGCCTCAGTAGGGAGCAGTCTGGGTTCCCAGTGGGAATGGTCAGGGCCTTGAATTTCAACATAATCTGTTATTTGATGTTTGTTTATTTTTGGGTTGGGGACTCACTCTGTTGCCCAGGCTGGACTGCAGTGGCACACTCACATCTATGACAGCCTTGACCTGCTGGGCTCAGGCCATTCTTCCTTCTCAGCCTTTCAAGTAACTGGAACCACAGGCATGCGCCACCATGCCTGGCTCATTTTAAAATTTATTGTAGAGAAGAGGTCTCACTGAGTTGCCCAGGCTGGTCTCAAACCCCTGGACTCAGGCAGAAGTTCCAAAAGTACTGGGATTACAGGTGTGAGCCACTGCATCCAGACAGAAATTTGATATATAACAAGCCTCAGGTGTTAGTGAGAACAGCTCCCCTGGGGGTCGATGACAGTGAAGCCCAGACAACGCTGGCTAAGGCTCACTGCTGGGTGAGGCACACTAGATGTCACTTCTTCCTGTAGTCCACGAATGTGTGGGGTTGCTCTGGGGGTGGAACATGGACAGGAAGCCTGGAAAGGAGTGTGAGCCTGGCCTTTGGGCTGCAGTGACTTCTGCTCTGCATCTTGGCTCATGGTTCCCGCCTCTTCCTCTCTTAGCAGGTGAACCAGGATGTGAGCCGGCAACTACTACAGGACGGATATCACCTAGATGAGATTCCGGACGACGAGGACTTGGACCTCATCCCTCCTAAGCCTATGGCCTCTTCATCATGTTCCTGCTGCTGGTGCTGTCCTGGGGACTCTTCCTCCTGTACTCTCCAGTAGACATAATTCTCCATGTTGGGCCCTGCTCACCAAGGCCTACAGAGCCCTGTTGGTCCTTCATAGCTCACAGGATGCAGTGGGAACTGCTGTCAGCTAGAAGCACTGGAGGCGCTGACCCATAGGAAGTTCAGTGGCCTGCAGGTAGCCCTTGCCTGGTGCTTCTCAGGCCAGAGGCCCCATCTGAGCTGTGGGTTGACAGGTGGAATTCTGCAGTTTTCCTCTGCTGTTGGTGTTGAGTTTGGAGAAGCTACTTTAAATATGGGTAGGAAGAGAGCTTCTGTGCCCAAGCTCTGCTAGAGAGTGGTATATGGAGGCAGGAATAGCACTTTATAGCTTGCAGCTGGGAATCAAAAAATTGAACTGAAACCCATTGAAGAAATTCCAAGCACTCTCCTCTTCCTCCCAGCTCTAGCATAGGTTACAGGTTTGACCTCTAAGAGAGCGTAAAGTAGGTCACCTGGTCCCCCTTCAGGTTGTGTTTGTCTAGCTCTGGCAGGGTTCTAGCAGGTTGCTTAGTGATGCAACAGGATCATGGCTTCCAGGATTCCTGGACCTGGGGCATCCCTGACTGGTCCAGCTGCCCAGGTGGGTTTTGTGACTCTGGCTAGCCCTTCCCTAGTTAGAGAAAAACTGCTCCAACATGTACATATTTATTTATTTGCATTCCCTTGGTTTGGCTGGTTTCTCCTCCCAGCCTTTGAGCTAAAGGTTGGGTTGAAGGTACTAGGGCTGGTCCCAGAAGCCTGCAGTTTTTGTTCTTACCAGCAGAGGGAGCTGCAGGGAGCAATTCGGTGCCATCTAATTTTACTTTTTACTTTTAGAAGTAGCAATGAAAGCCGGGCTCAGTGGCTCAGCCTGTAATCCCACGCCTTTGGGAGGCAGAGGTGAGTGGATTGCCTGAGCCCGTGGGTTCGAGACCTGCCTGGGCAACTTGGCGATACTTCATCTCTACAATAAATCAAAAATTAGCTGGGTGTGGTAGTGTGCCTGTAATTCCGGCTACTCGGAAGGCTGAGGCGGAAGGATCGCCGGAGCCCAGCAGGTCGAGGCTGCGGTGGCCGGGAGCGGCCACTGCACTCCAGTCTGGGCGACAGAGTGAGACTCCAACTCAAAAAATAAAAATAAAAAAAAGTAGCAGCAATGGGTGAGCGGTGTAGCTGGGAATCAAAAAATTGAACTGAGACCCATTCAAGAAATTCCATGCACTCTCCTCTTCCTCCCAGCTCTAGCATAGGTTACAGGTTTGACTTGACAGCCATGTGGGCTTTGGTCTACATGAGGCTTACAGACAGCATGGGGAAGAGAGACTTCAGAGTTTTCAGGCCCCTTCCCTAAGGTGATCAGTCTGCCAGTGCAGAGGGCCTCCCCTCATTCCAGCATGGACCATTCTATTGCCAGATTCTTCTGGTCACAACATGGACCTCACAGTGGATACTCAGGATTGGGCTTTACAGCAAACCTCTGGGTATAACATAGCCTCCCTTGGCCCCCAGACTGAACACAGCAGAAATGGGCATCGTTTCCCCTGATACCCCTTCCCCCCAACTGGATAGCATCTCTTATACCAGACCTCTTTCTAGAATGTTTTCAATAGTTCCTTGTTCTTCTTTTTTGACTTACCCAGGACCCTGGTGAATTATGAATGGGCATAGACAGGGTTCCCAGCCCAAGGGGTGTGTGGTCAGGATTGGGATGTAGGCCCTATATGGGAAAGTGTCGAGTCTCCTGCTTTGCTTAGTGCCTCGAGGCATCTGTGGGATATGCAGACTCTTGCTCTGCCACAAGAGGTGATAAGACTGAGAACGTGAGATTAAAAGATATGGCTTTATTGGTCAGACACCTGTCTTCATGAGGGTAATCCTGTTAGTGCTTGATGTACAGCTTTTTGTTCTCCAGTTGTAAAAGGTTGAGAGAAATACATAGTACCTAGCTAGGCCTGACTTACTCTAGCTAGCAGCATCACAAGAGGGAGGCAGACCAGAGGCATGCTTGGGTGGGGGCTGGGGAGGCACGTGATGGCTCAGTTCTGGAATGGGACCCTGTGCCTCTACCCAGGTGTCCAGCATCCCGAGTGCATTGGGCAAATGCCAGGAGGGGGCAAGAACGTCTCAATTCCAAGCCCTTTCTCCACCCACAGAGGCTGTGTCCAGGCCTTTCTGATTTCTGCAGAGGTGAGCCACATGTAGAGATCAGGCGTAGGATGGTGTAAAGAAGGGAGGGGACCCAGCACAAGCCAGAGGTGACTGTGGCAGCCAAGTGGCCCCATTGCTGTCAGGACAGTGCTTGGGCATTGGCAGCTGCTGGGGGGTGAGGGTAGCAGGACCCCAAAACCAAGCCCTCTGGGTGGCTGTTGCAGTGATCAGCACTGGCACGTTTGACTGCAGCTGTCCCCAGAGAGGATGCTTTGGAGCTGGTTGACTCTGTGTAGGCAGGCATTACCAGAGGACTCCCTCCACTTGAGGGACAGCATGCAGTGAGGCAGGGAGCAGTGGTCAGCTGTTTGGAGCCAGAGGCTACATACCAAAATACCACCAATAAAGGCACTAAGGTGCCCAGAGCCAAACTGCCTTAATTCAGAGAGCTGGGTGTTCTGCAGGTGACAGTCCCCTGGAGAGGGGTGTATCCAGGCTTACCTCATGGAGAGGTGGGGGACCATATGGTGTTTACACATTCTAAGGATGCTTGGCTTGCACTTCTACAGCTCTGTATGTTTTTAAGAATAAATGCGATCACACTAGTCAAGCTATGTCTGTGTTACAATAGATTTTTTTCACATCACCATAAGGAGGTTTGCAATATTTAAGAAAGGCCTGGATATCCTGAAATGAAGAAATGGCTTAGTGCCCCAACTGCAGTGGTTCCTCTTGGAAACTCCCCCTCCCTTTTTGCTGTTCTCCATGGGTAACGTTTTCAGGTCTATTTCATTGGAGACCATAAGTGAAATAGGCCCTCACAAATCACTTTTATCTTGAATAGTTTCCTTTTAACAGACCCTTTCCAGCTCATCTTTATTTTTTGGTGAAGAAAATTTGAGGCTGAGCATGATGGCTCATTCCTGTAATCCTAATACTTTGGGAGGCCAAGGCAGGAGGATTGTTCAAGCTCAGGAGTTCAAGACTAGAGTGGACAAGAGAGATCCTGCTCTATAAAATACTTTTTTTTTTTGAGTAGGAGTCTCCGTCGCTGGGCTAGAGTACAGTGGCACACTCGCGGCCACCCCAGCATCGACCTGCTGGGCTCTGGTGACCCTTCTGCCTAAGCCTTCCAAGTAGCCAGAACTAAAGGTGTGTGCTACCATGCCCGGCTATTTTTTTTTTTTTTTTTGTAGAGACGAGGTCTCACCAGTTTGCTCAGGCTGGTCTCAAACCCACGGGCTCAGGCAATCCACTTGCCTCAGCCTCCCAAAGTGCTGGGATTACAGGCTAAGCCACTGAGCCTGGCCTTTTTTTTTTTTTTTTTTTTTTGAGTCAGAGTCTGTCTCCCAGGCTGGAATACAAGTGGCACACTCATGGTCACCACAGCCTTCACCTGCTGGGCTCAGGTAATCCTGCCTCAGCCTTCCAAGTAGCTGGAACTACAGGCATGAACTGAAGCTCTCACCTATTTTTTTTTTTTTTTTGAGCTGGAGTCTCACT